CTGGGGCATGTGGTTCTAGAGGCCGAAGAATCTGTTGGAATCCTTCAGCCAATCCCTGTCTAATGGCCAAGGAGACAATGTCTTGAATCTCCCTGGGCCTGTCGGCAATGGTAGGGTTGGAAGGCCGAAGGCCAGCCGCCATGGGTGTGAAGGGGGCTTCTGGCCAATTTATGGAGGAGCCCTGAACTCTGGAGGGAAGAGAAGGGGCATAGGCCCCATAGGCCTGCTTGAAATGGGGCCCTGACCTGCTTAAATTCTGAGGATCTAGTTGTTCCTCAAATCTCTCAGGGAACCATGCTGGAGGGGGTCCAAAAGATCCAAAAATGACTTCCCTTCCCCTGGGGGGGGGGGTTCCCTGAGGTTCTCCTGCCTGGGAAGCCTGTTGCAGTTGCCCTCTCATTTGCTGAATTGTTTTGTTAAATTGCCTCTCTAGAGCAGCATGTCTGCATTTTTCTGCCCTAAGCTCGGCCTGAGTTGTCTTCTTGGAGGCCAGAGGCTTAGGTTTGATTTTAGCAGCCACTTCTCTCTGAGCCGATTGAGCATGCTGTCTGCGTCTTTTCCTCCTAGCCGGTTGGAGGGCCTGTTCTACTGGAGGGGAAAGTTCTGTATGAGCCCTGTCTTGATCCATATTAAGTATAGACAAAGCCCAAGAGGTGTTAGAAGTGACCCTCGAAATGAGCTGCTTACTTTAAGGGCTGCACAGAGGGTCAAATTAAGTTTTTTGTGACCGAAAAACTGTTGGGCCACTTAAAATGGCCGCTCACCTCGTGTGCTGGAGGATCTTGCTCTCCAAAATGGCCGCTGCGCGTGTCGAGGCCTCCGATAGTGATGTTCATCCTTCGGCTATTGAGAGCCCCGAGCGAGAAGATTGGCCAGAGGAAACAGCCGCCGCCTGCGAGATCAGCTGGTTGGTGCTGTTATCGGTTTGCCGATCGGACTGGCGATCGCGCAACCGGAAGGCTATGGGGAAGGTAGCTGGGATGCTTCCCTGCTTGCCTGCACAGCGCAGTGGCAAAGTGGAGTCCTCAACATTGCAGGAGAATGGAGCCCCGCTCTCCTGAAGTTGCAGCTACCCGGATCCCCGGGAGCTGTTTGAAGCTGAGATAGCTTCTTTTGGAATCCACTGAACTGAACCACTAACACTTTCAGAGACCCAGCATGTGACTGAAAAGAAGCTGAATCAAAGCTGGGGATTCTCCCGGGGGCTGGATTTTTATATACAAGAACAGATTCAGCTTAATGACATCATAAGAAGGAGTCTAACCCATCCTGGGCTCTTGCTGCAGCAAGGAGGAGAATTTACTAAACACCGAATCAAGTATTTTTTTGGTAAATTTGCCAAATAGTGCATACAGGTAGTTCTTGACTTACAACCAGTGGTGGTATTCTACCGGTTCGGCCCGGTTCTGGCGAGCCGGTAGTAGCGATAAGCAGCGGAGACCAAACTGGTTCTCTCCGCTGCTCTGCTGTTGGGCCCACCCTCCCGCCCAGGCTCCCATACTGACCTTTATCCGCTGAATTTGAAGCGCAGCTGTTTTGCGTGGCACAGAAGAGTGCTGCGTGGCAGCTGCTGAAGTGACCGGGATCGTGCAGACTTGCAGGAGGCGAGTTAGAATACCTCTGTGCCGGTGTAAACAACTCTGCGCCTGCGCAAAGTGCATGTTTGGCGCACAAAGTGTGTGCACACACGCAAAGCACACCCACCAAGCCACACCCACCGAACCGGTGGCAAAAATATTAGAATCCCACCACTGCTTACAACCATAGTTTGACTGTTTGAAGTTACAATGGCACTGAAAAAAGTGACATTGCCTCTTTTTCATACTTACAACTGCTGCGGCATCCCCACGGTCACAACATCAAAATTAAGATACTTGGCAATTGTCTTGTATTTATGACGGTTGCAGTCTCCCAGGGTCATGTGATCATATTTTGCAACCTTCTGACACGCAAAGTCATTGGGGAAGCCAGATTCATTTGAAAACTGTGTTACTAACTTAAAAACTGCAGGGAGTCACTTAACTGTGGCAAGAAAGGTTGTAAATGGAACAAAATTCAATTAGCAACAGAAATTTTGAGTTCAGATGTGGTCATAAGTCGAGGACTACCTGTATCAACTTGGAACTGAAATTCCCTTGGCTTTACTTTTAAAGTTACCTAACCGCAGAATGTTAACCACTTATTTCTATCCCTCTACCAAAATGTTGAATCTCAGTTGACTAATTTAGTGATCCTAATACTGTAGCATCTAATAATGAGAAGACTAATTGTAATACCTACTGATAAAAATACAGAAATTACAATACTTGAATCAATTAGCCTTTTGCAGAGTGCAAACGGCTCTACCCGGATTCAATCTTACTGTTTTTCGAAGTTCTCAACTTCCTGAATCTCTAACTTTCTGTTCACCAGCACCTCTCACATGTGTCTCCTTCGTTCGACGACTGAATCAAAATTGCGCATGCTCAGACGAAGGAGGCATGGCCAAACATCTGATTGATTCCGTCTCCGAGTGAAGAAGAGGAGTCCACACCCAAGCATTGGATTCTCGGTCTAGCACACCGGAGAAACTATTAATTCAAAAGTTCGTAGTTAAATGTTAATTTATTACTTTGGCCCAGTTTCATAGAATTATTAAATTGAACCACATAAAAAGTTATTTGGCCATTGCAGAATTTTGTATGTATTATTTATACATTAAATGCTCCATAAGAAATATGCACTGATCGGGGGTTGAGAACATTTAATGAAACCATAACAGATACTTATTTCTGAAATTAATTTTGGACTGAAAGAGCCTTTACTAGATAGAGTTAGAAATTTGGTTCAGGTACCAGTAGTCCTTGACTTACAACCACAATTGAGCCCAAAATTTATGCTGTTAAGTGAGAATTTATTAAGTGAGTTTTGCCCCATTTTTACGATCTTTCTGGCCAAAGTTGTTAAGTGAATCACTGCAGTTGATAATTAATAACCCGCTTGTTAAGTGAATCTAGCTTCCCGATTGACTTTGCTTGTCAGAAGGTTGGAAAAAATGATCACATGACCTCAGGATGTTGCAACAGTCATAAGTATGAACCAGCTGCCAAGTGCCTGAATTTTGATCACATGACCAAAGGTTGTAACTGTGAAAATGGTCATAAGTCACTCATAATAAGGAATACTACTCACTATTCCTTCCATACTGAGGTATATGAGATTCAAGCATGAAATATAAAGTCAAATCATCTAGGCCAGGATTGTCAAACTCCCCGCCCGCAGCCAGATACGTCACATGCTGGCCACGCCCGGTTTAGCGAAGGGGGGGAAGTCCTGATATGCCACATGATGCCGCCGTGATGCCGTGAGTTTGACACCCCTGATCTAGGCTTATGAAGATCTTTCTGGATAGCAATAGCCTAAAATTTCCACTTACTTTTAAACTAAAAATATCATGAACATTTAAGAAAAAAATAAATAAAGCTACTACCTTTTTACAACTTTATTTTTGTTCTAAAAGAAAAGAGATGAGCAATACATTTTGAACAGAAAAATTAAGTCGAGTAAAAGAGTCTCTGTCCATTCTCCATGCTCTTTTTTATTTAGACAGCATCGTCCCATATTGCTGCTTTCATTAACAAAAATCAAGGAGAGTAATGTGTGAATCGTGACCCCTAGCTTACTAATCACTGAAACAACCCCAATGAGATTTCACACTCATTACCTTGGCAAATAGCAATAAAGGGTATTAGAGACAGTTCATGGTTTTTGAAAAAGTAGTCAACTTCAAACATCCAACAACTGACCAATAATTCACCCAACCTTTCTCCTGGAACGTTCATGAATTGAGTGTTTAGAACAAAAGTAACGTGATAAAATATATAGCAATTTTTAGACAAGCAAACACTTACGCAATGTTCTTCAAATTATGGGGAAGTTCAATCCTTTTCCTGACATACTTCTCCCCTCTTTTATGAGAGAAATAAGAAAAATGAAAAGCAAACTCTATTGTTGCTTGAATTTAACTTCCATTTCAAAAGAATGGTGGGCATTTTTAACAGCTAAGCTCTTTTTTGCTTTCCAGCATTTATAATAAAACAATTTTCAGGCTAATGTTAAAAAGTAGTTTAATGGTAAACATGAAATATAACAGGCTTGCCTAGCTTCAGGGCATATAAGAAAGGCACTTAGTTTCCGTGTATCATCACGGACTTTTAATGAAAGTATTCATAGCTAGCTACATATAGTCAAATATCCACCTTAAGTTATTGCCTAATTGCATAGGTAATGAAGATACGGCAACAGTACTGCAGTGGTTAGTCAAGGAAATTATTAGTCCAATCTATTTCACAAGGTTATTGGGATGAAACAAGATAGGGTTAATAAAATAGGGTTAATAAATATTTTTTTAAAATATTTCCTTCAACCCCAGGAATAGTTCTGTGAAGATATTTCTCATTGCAACTACAATATGTTTTTTTTAAGAACGGGCTATAAAGTACAAACGATAGATAATTTAGATAAACCCTGAAAATAATTTTTCCATGCTGTAGAAATCTTTAAAATAGAACACTGCTGATTCTTATTCACTACTCTATCCATTTATCGATCCATCCATCCATTTAAAGTAAATATATACTGACATAAAATGACAATTTACCGTATTTGCCGGCGTATAAGACGACTTTTTTGCCCCGAAAAACATGCCTCCAAGTGGGGGGGGTCGTCTTATACGCCGGTATATCCACTGCCGGCTTTCGGAGGCTTGTTGGACGCAGCGAAGGCGCCTCTGGCTTCCCGGATCCCCTGCGTCGCTTCCGCTTCATCCCGCTCGCCTCGCTCCGCCCGAGGCTGCAGCCTTCCTGCTCTTCCCACGGCCCCTGGCACTCCGCCCTGCCGCTGCAGCCCCGGGGATTTCTGGAGGGCGTTTCCGGTGGTGGTGGGGGGTCGTCTTATACGCCGGGTCGTCTTATACGCCGGCAAATACGGTATATGTACCTTTGGATTATCCCAATACTTGCCTGGAATATATCCCACTGACAATATCATTCTGAATAGAGTGTTCTCTTGACAAGTTGGGGCCAGCAGCCTTAGACACAAGTAAAACCACGAGACCTCTCATCTGCAAATTGTTCCTGGTGTCAGATATAAAGCCCCTAGAAAAGAGGAAAAAAAGAATCAAGTAAGTCCAAATAGTCTATAGAATTCTCCTAAATTTATTTTTTTGTCAAATGGGTTAGCTTCACAATATCAAGCACTCATTATTCATACAATATTTCCAAATGGGGGCCTCAACGAGCTACACAGGTAGTCACTGACTTACATCCATTCATTTAGTGACTATTCAAAGTTACAACAGAACTGAAAAAAGTGACTTATGACCATGTTTCACACTTACAACTGTTGCAATATCCCCATGGTTATATGATCAAAATTCGGGCGCTTGACAACTGGCATGTATTTATGACAGTTGCACTGTCCCGATCATCATTTGTAACCTTCCCAGCTGGCTCCTGACCAGCAAAGGTAATGGAGGAAGTTAAATTCACGAAACAGTCACAAGATTCACTTAACAACAGTGACAAAAATGTAAAATGGCAAAACTCACTTAGCAACTGTCTTGCTTAGCAATGGAAATTTTGGGCTCCATTGCCATTGTAAGTTGAGGACTAGAATTAGAATTCTTTTATTGGCCAAGTGTGATTGGACACACAAGGAATTTGTCTTGGTGCAAATGCTCTCGGTGTACATAAAAGAAAAGATACATTCATCAAGAATCAAGAATCATAAGTTACAACATTTAATAATAGTCATAGGATACAATAAGCAATCAAATCATACTAGGAAACAGTTCATATAAACTGTAAGGATACAAGCGACAAAGTTACAGACTACCTGTAAATCCAATTTGAATAATCATTTAAATACTGAGCAGATTATTTTGAACATGCTAAATAACGATCATTTCTGATCATGTAAAGATATTTTAAACCATGATTCAGGCCACTTTCTCAATGTTTCCCATTCTGAAACCTCTAGACTGCCAAAATTATTAGTCACACAATTTCCAATTACTTTGTCTATTTTGCCATTCTAGCTGAACATTCTGGTATTCAGAGCTTTAAAACTTGGCCAACAATGTGTCAATAGAAATCTCCCTGTATTCCAAGTTGAACTTTAATTTTTAAAGATTCTAAATAACTAAATTGAAAATTGGTGTGCCAAAAGTAAGTACCAGCCTCAAGCTGAATTGTTACTTCCAAGAATGTTGCTTGTGACATCTATATACGCCAGAGGCCTTCGTAAGAAAGTCAGAATGACACAAGATTAAATATCAGGGCTTTATTGGAAGTATATGTAAGTATATATTCAAAGAGTATTAACAATTTGGGCTTGAATTCTTAAGGAGCAATGCAAAACCAACTTCTTTCTGAGAGCTACAGAAAATATTAATAGAATAGAATAGAATTCTTTATTGGCCAAGTGTGGCTGGACACACAAGGAATTTGTCTTGGTGCAAATGCTCTCAAGTATAGATACATTCATCAAGAATCATAAGGTACAACACTTAATGATAGTCATAGGGTACAATAAGCAATCAAATCATACTAGGAAACAGTCAATATAAATCGTAAGGATACAAGTGACAAAGTTACAGTCATACAGTCACAAGTGGGAGGGGAGGGGTGATAAGGAGTGATGAGAAGATTAACAGTAATAGTAGTGCAGACTTTGTAATAGTTGAACAGTGTTGAGGGAATTATTTATTTAGCAGTGATGATTTTGGGGGAAAAAACTGTTATTGTGTCTAGTTGTTCTGGCATGCAGTGCTCTATATAGCATTGTTTTGAGGTGAAACAGTTTGTGTCCGGGATGTGAGGGGTCTGTAAATATTTTCACAGCCCTCTTTGACTCGTGCAGTATACAGGTGCTCGATTGAAGGCAGGTGGGTAGTAATTGTTTTTTCTGCAGTCCTAATTATCCTCTGAAGTCTGTGTCTGTCCTGTTGGGTTGCAGAACTAAACCAGACAGTTATAGAGGTGCAGATGACAGACTCAATAATATGTTCATTTTGATGCATGAATATATAAAAGTGAAATACCACCCACGCATCATCACAAAATCTCCAGAACTGTAAAGCCTGCAAACTTGAAATTTGGCACGTATGTTCCTCTTGGCTTCTAGAAAGGATTTTTTGAAATGACCATCAGAGCACTAGTATTTCATATATTATTAATAGGTTTCAATGCTAAGGTGTTCTACTCCCCCTCCCCACCTGAAAACAAATCTGTTCCAAATGCAAAACACAAGCAGAGGAGATGAGTTTCAGTTTTAGTTTTACTTTCAAGCAGCTTTAGTGCAGAACAGTTGACCTAAGCCATGCCCAGGCTCCTTGCCATCTCCTTGCTCACACAGCAAATACTGTTTCAGTTTCCAAACAGCCCTCAACTCTCTTACACACTGACAGTACGATAGTCAGATGAATATTGATGGATGTTGGTAGGCAGAGGCAGAATTCTGTCCCCCTTATTTTCCTCCCCAAAAACTAAGCCCTATCACATACTTTCGTAGTGAAGCACGGGTACTTCACTATAATACTTTCGTGAAGTACTATATAATACTATAATAAATTAGCATAACCTAGATAACTAGTTGATCCCAAAAAAGCTAACTAGAATCAGTCATGGAGACCAACAGGAAGTCTCAGGGCTATTTGCTAGAATGAAAAACCAAACAAAAATTCAAAAAGGCAATGACAAATTATTTTAATTGTTGCCAAGAACACTACATTAATTTTGGAAATCTTTTATTTTATGAAATCACAATGTTAAACTAGCCAGATGCAGCAGACAATTGTCTTTAAACCAAAAAAATAAAACTGAATAAAATGTAGTTCTGGAAAAATCAATATGAATTTCTCACATTTGATTCTGTTTATTAGAACTTCTTGACATATATTTGATCTCTGACTCATTGTATTTGTATTTAGTATTTCTCACTGTTATAAAACTACTAAAGCAACGGTTTGTGTATCAGAGGCATTATATTCAAGAGGAAGGTTCATTTAATGTAGTATATACAGAAGGATGTGAAAATGCAAATAAAATTAATATACTATGGCATCAGAGATTGTATAGTTAAGTAGTTAAACCTGAAGGTATTTTGCAAATTGTACATCTGATTTAAATGAAATCAGTATTCAAACTAGGTGCTCAACATTCTAAAGTTAGAAGAAAAGTTCTGTCAACACATCCATCTTCATTGAGACTGAATGAAAATGTAAATGAAGTCAATTACCATATGACAGAAAATACATAAAAATAGAATAAAGAGACAGTGAAGCACCAATCACTGTATACTTCATTTTTGTGAGAAAATAGCTAATTCATAGCAAATCCATGTAGAGCAATAGTGGACGCTATTAAGCAAGAGCATAGGCACAAATTCATATAATGTCCTTGCATATGATCTAAATCATCTAGTGTTCCCTAAGATTATTTATGTTTCCTTTCCAAATTGTGAGCTAAGAATTAAAAAAAATTCTAGCCACCCAAAGCCATAAACAGACTTATATTAAAGACATGGAGTTGGTCTTCACTAAAGTTAATTGCAAGGGATTTGAAACAAATAAACCCTACAGTAATCCTCCTTTAGTAATCAGAAGCTACGGGCAATCACTTGAAATGGCTTCAGGGGTCATATTCACATTCTACCTGAATCCATGTCCCTAGAGATATTCAACCCATGTCACAGGTATATAAAAGTCTTCCAGATGGTGCAATTATTCTTGATGGGTATGTAGCAGAAGACAGGTTCCTCTAGGGGAAAAAGCGGCTGGAAGTAGCACAACTGGGCGTGCACACACACACACACACAACTGAACATTAGAGTCAGATTCCTTCCTAAAACCTTGGGCAAAATATTACCACAAGTATAAATATAAATTCACAAGATTATAATATAGCTTATTCTAGTTTGTCCAGCTGATTATTATTAAATGCTACGCCTTCAAGCTAAAATTGAATTAGATCTAGACAACTCTCCACTGCAAATCCAGGTTTTCGAGCAATTAAACAATAGGAGGGAAAATACAATTATTCTCCATGCTATTCTTGTGACAAAAATAAGTTTTAAAATTAACAAATTGCTCTGTAAAAGCAGAACTCTTAATGTTCTTGACTTGCTATGAAGAGGGGAAGCCCAGCTTAGAAACAAGCCTACCATGCTGATACAAAGACTCGCACCACCCACACAAACAGTAACACTGGATAATAATTTTTATGCTAAAAGAATTACACCTCCTACTGCTGTCCATCTGTTTAAGAGAATAAATCAACCAAACATAAGCATTCTTATGAAAGCTCTGCATACAGTACTTAAATTTCCAATGTTCAGCTATTTCTCTTCTCAAGTAGAGATAAGACATAAACCTATAATTCCAGTGGTTTCTATTCATTGAAACATTTTTGGCAAAAAAGAGGGACAAACTTTGGAGGATAATTTATACAAAGGCCATTCAACAATTACATTTTAGCAATCATATCTATGGATCATCAGACAAATCAGTGTACAGTGTAAAGATTAAACACATACTTTAAAATTTTCCTAGAAGAATTCAAGGAAGAAATTAAAACATGATTAACAATTCGCATCCACACTTTAAAATACAATATAATTTTAATGGCAGCATTTACAGAATACATTAAATGTGTTGCATGTGACAAGGAAAATAAAGTGAATAATTGCAAATTACCTATAACATATGTCTAAAAATATAGAGGGTATAAATGAATTTCTGTGCCTTTGTAGAATGTTAATTAAAGATTAAGAAATTTTAAGGCACACAAATGCTGGTAGAATAATACTCAATAAGTACATGAAAGAATGAATATTGAAAAAATGTAGAAAATGCTCCAATACAGGAAGTTTATTTTATTTATTTATTTATTTATTTTGTCAATTGCTTACAAGATAATACGTATAAGTATAAACATGAGTAAGAATACAGGAAATAGGTACAAATAAATGGGGACAATAGGACAGGGACAGGAGGCACGATGGTGCACTTATGCACGCCCCTTAAGTTTTTAAGAGATTGGACAACCATTTGTCTGAACATGGTGGCTCAGTGATTAGAATGCAGGACTGCAGGCTA